TGTCTCGAATGGTGTGTCCAACAGGCCGATTGCGATGTCCGATGGCTTCGGTGTGTGGCACAGATACGGCTGCCGGCTAAAGGCAAATGCTATCACATAGTATTCCCGACAATTGACAAACGTATGGGACAGTCGTATAATTTACGGGGTTTCCTCCCCCTTAACCCTCTCTCTCTCTCTTATAATTGATGTTTTAAATTATAGCTATTGGTCTCCAATCGTTGGCCAACAACAACAACACCGACGCGGTCATCATCAATGGTAGCGATGCTGCTGCTGGTGGTAATGGTGCTGCCGATGATGATAATGATGATGACGACGACGGCGACGATTATGGCCAACAACTTGGTCGTCGTCGGCGGCCGCGAATGACAATTATGCGACCCGTATCGACACTACCGTTATTCGACTATCCGTTACGCCGATTGTTTACCGAACTATTAACTGTCGATCAGTTTCTTACATGCTATTCGTGTGCCTTAATGGAAACCCAGATACTGATTGTCAGCAACGACTACTATAAGCTGATGCTGGTGGCCGAATCCCTGTGCTCACTGTTGAATCCATTCAAATGGCAACACGTTTACGTACCTATACTTCCAAATAAATTAGGTATGAGTGTAGTGGTGATGATAACAAGGAGCTATCGCTTAACGCTTCTCATATATATATATAGATATATAGATAGTCACCAACTGTTTGATTACCGCTAACTGTTTATACTGTTATCACTTTTTCCAAATCCAGGTCTTCACTATTTGGACGCTCCGACACCCTATATAATGGGTCTTCACAAGAGCTCCAATTCGACTGCCGGCGCTCTGAACACCATTGCCTGTCTAATCGATTGCGACGATCATACTGTCAATGTCAACACGAATACGACCACTACTACCAATACCTCATCGGCACCAGTATTGGCCACTACACAGCCGCCGCAGCCACCGTTCATCGACTCATTGAAACACGATTTGGAAGCCATACTGAATGCCGATCTTAGATTGAGTGCACTGGCGAGCGGTCGTAACGGTCATACCCAGAGTGAAACAATTCAACGCCTGACACAATTGGCCAGAAAACACAATGTCATTGGCGACCGGTTTACCTATTTGGACGACTTGAAGCTTAACCAACAAATTCGTGTACTGTTTTTGAAGACAATTCGCCGACATATTCTACATAAGTATCAACAGTTTATCATAACGACAAACAATCGAAAGGTATGACTCCCGTTCCCAACACATACCCGACTCCCCATGAGACTAACAATTTTACAATAAATATAGGACTCAATACGTTTCGATACGGTTGCCTATCTATCAGATCGGCCACAATCGGCCCAACCGTTTCTCCAGCAGTTTGTCTCAACACAAATGTTTGTCTCGTTTATCGACGAAATGGGCAAACAATTGATACGCAAACAGAAGACAATGGCCGTCGTTAGTCAACACCATCATCAGTCGTTGTCCTTAAATCCCGAAACCAGTTCGCTATTTGATTCCCTATATGACGACGACTTTGAGGAACTGGATTTTTCACTATTTACCGACGAAATACTTGAATCGCGCTATCGTAGCGCTCGTCGTATTCAATTGAAAGATCTGGAACAGTCGTTACCGACATCGACAGTTGGTGAGACCGCTTCATCATCAGCCGCGACGACCACAGGGGTGACCGTATGGACACCAACATCGACAATGATTAGCTGCGATTTGTCCCGATTGTCGACCACTAGTATAGCATCGCCGCGCACTCGACGACGCTTTCAGACATTGGCCGCTACTAGAAAGCTGTCGACGTCGTCGTCCATTGGCGGCGGGGGCGGCTCGGCTGCCGATAATAACGGCAACAATAATAACAATAACAACAACAATAGCAACAATAATAATACCAATCAATTATTGAACAACGAGTTCAATGGTTTGTCCATGAATTCGCCGCTCAAATCGGTACCGAAAGCGTTGGCCGCCCAAACTAATTGGCGTGTAGTCGAAACATTGCTCCGGGAGGTTAAGGTAATTGACTGATTGATTGACATTATTTAGTTGTTAAGAGGAGTTGTCTGATTGATTGATTGATTGAGTTTTGTTTTGTAGATTAAGACAAAGCGAATCCTATTGGAAAAGATGGGCTCCGATGAGGTATCGCCAATGACTGGCGGCTCCGGTGGTAGCGGTAACGGTAGTGTTGGTATGGAAGAGAATACATTGATTGCCTCCCTGTGCGATCTAATCGAACGAATCTGGTCACACGCCCGTACCGAAGACATACGCGACATTAATCGGTGGCAGTCGGGTAGCTGTGCATTCTGGTCGCATCTGATGGCCTACTATCAATTGGAGACTAACGATACAATAGGTGTGGCCAATACTAATAATAATAATAATAATAATAAAAACAATAGAGGAGGAGGCGGTGGTAGTGGTGTGCCCAACGATATGTCTCAATTAACTCCAGGTATGGGATGGGATGGTTGACCTGAAAAAAACATACGCTATTTATCTATCGAATCGCTGTTTAATAAACTTTTTTTTATTACTCTCTCTCTCTCTCTCTCTCTCTCTCTCTCTCTCTCTCTCTCTCTCTCTCTCTCTCTCTCTCTCTCTATCTCTCTMTCTATCTATCTATCTCTCTATATATCTCTATCTCTCTCTCTCTCTCTCTCGCTCTCTCTCTATCTCTCTCTCTCTCTCTCTCTCGCTCTCTCTCTATCTATCTATCTCTCTCTATCTATCTCTCTCTCTCTCTCTCTCTCTCTCTCTCTCTCTCTCTATCTATCTATCTATATGTCTATCATTTCTCTCATTCTTTGACTCTCTTTCTCTCAAAATTGTCTCTCAAAAAGGCTTGGCGTGGGTTCTCTTCCGGAAGAGAATTGATTGTATGTCTGACTCTCTATTGTCTTATAAATCTATTAAATACTTATAAAGTAATTGTTTGTAAAAAAATTTATTTTATTATTTTATTTTTGTTAAAAATTTTATTACTATTATTTATTTGATTAAATTTATTGTCTAATGTTGTTATTATCATATGGTGTGGGGGCGGGTATTTAGCCCTGTCCAGGCCATCAGCAGCAGCCACGTTGATGGACACAAACACAAACTCGACGCCCAGTTCACCAATAAGACGTCCACCACAACAACAACAACAACAACAACAAAACATACATCAAAATCGTGTCAGCAATAGTCCATTGAAATCGTTGCCGACAACCCTACTGTACGATATCAGATCTGTTAGATCCATGTCCGACATCAAGACCGATGTCGGCAAAAGTCGGGCATTCATACGGCTATCGCTCGAACGTAAACTATTGTCAAAACATTTGCGTACATTACTGGCCAATAATGATCTATTAATGTAATTAAATTAATCAGTTAAATAATAATTAATTAATAATTAATTTTTTGTTTGTTTCCCCCCCCCCCTAAAGATCACTATACAAGAGGTACGCATTTCTTCGTTGCGAAGAAGAAAGGGAACAATTTCTGACACATTTGCTGACATTAAATGCCGTCGATTTGATGTGCTTTACAAATACGTTCACAACTAGTATATTGCGTTAGTTTTATTATTTTCCCGTTTTTGTTTGTAAATTACCCGAAAAACATAGATAATATTTACCGAAACATTATTTATCTATTCAATCTAATAGCTTATACACTGATAATTTACGGCTCACAACAATTTAACGGCTCGTTTTCGGTTACCGGTACCACTGCCGGCAATACTACGGCCATCAACCATACATCGACCGATAGCTATACGATTAGTTCGGCTAATTGTTATTCATTTAGAGTAAGTATTTTCACAGATTTTTTATTTTTATAATTATATAATTAATTAATTATTTATTTGTAATATTAATTTTTTAGCACAAAAATCTTGGTATTTTAAATACGCTAACAATTAATTGTAGTCAAAATAGTAAAATATTTATTGAACACTGTTTTATACGCAACGATCTAACTAATCATATCTATAAGTAAGCAGTAGTTTATTATTATATAAAAAAAAATTAATTTAATTTTTAAAAAAACTAATTTATATACAAAAAAACAAAAATAGGTTTTCCTGTAATCGTTGGTTAGGCCGTAGCATTGATGACGGTTCCACTGAATGCGTAATCATTGGCGATCTATTGTCCGGCAGTATAAGCGATATACTGAAAAAATACGGTCCGCCCAGCCGTAGTTCGTCGATTGGCCGCAACTGGTCCCGATCGGTGGCCAACATTAACAATAATATAAGCGATTTCTATGACGGCAGCGATCGGTTGGCGTCGCCGCAAGAGTTGCAGACATTGTTGGGCGAGTCAATCAATCAGCTAATCAAATACTATTATACTATGTCATCCATCACTACTACCACCGCTACCACTACGGCCACCGCCGATGATATGCCGCCATCAAGACATCAATCGACAACAACAACAACTACCGGTACTCCTCCGCAATCGTCGAGTAATAGACAACAACAACAAAGATATCTAACAACTCAACGAACTGGTGGTAGTAGTAGTAGTAGTAGTAGTAGTAGTCGATTATGTGGCGGTACTGGCGGTACTGTCCGACATATTGCCCAATTAGTTTTCGGCGATCGGCGACTATTGTGGATATTGACGCAAATTTTCTACTATGGCTTCAAAAACCGTAGCCGATCGTCGTTTCGTAAACAGTCATATTTGTGGGATTTCCTCCTAAGAGTCAATTGTGAGCTTAAGATTAGTCGCACAACAACTACTACTACTACTACTACTCGCCAGTCGGCGTCGACAGCGGCGGCGACTGCGGCAGCAATGGACGCGGCCGGCGGCGATGCACTCATACAGCTGGTCGACTCGATCACCGATCGGGCCATTCATTACGGAAAGGACCAAAAATTTCAGCTATTTTTGGCGCTCTCTATACGGTAATTGTTATTTTAAATATTAATAGGATCTCTCTCTCTCTCTCTCTCTCTCTCTCTCTGTCCTCATTGAGTGTTACAGAGATGGA